TCCCGTCCTTCATATCAAGAGAGACAGACTACCCAGAATGTCCCGTCCTTCATATCAGAGAGAGAGACAGACTATAAACTACCAGAATGTCCCGTCCTTCATATCAGAGAGAGACAGACTACCCAGAATGTCCCGTCCTTCATATCAGAGAGACAGACAGACCCAGAATGTCCCGTTCTTCATATCAGAGAGAGAGAGACAGACTACCCAGAATGTCCCGTCCTTCATATCAGAGAGAGACAGACTACCCAGAATGTCCCGTCCTTCATATCAGAGAGAGAGACAGACTACCCAGAATGTTCCGTCCTTCATATCAGAGACACTAGAAATTCTGAAGGACTCTCTGCACTCTGGTATATATGGTGTCGGTGGATGTGGTATACTTGGACAGAGGTTGGCTGTGGACATGGTATACTTGTAGAGAGGGTGGTTGTGGTATACTTGGACAGAGGGGTGGCTGTGGATGTGGTATACTTGGACAGAGGGGTGGCTGTGGACGTGGTATACTTGGAGAGGGGTAGTGGGGGATGTGGTATATTTGGACAGAAGGGTGGACGTGGTATGCTTGTACAGAGGGGTGGCTGTGGACATGCTATCCTTGAAAAGATGGATGAATGTGGTATACTTGGAAAGAGGGGTGGCTGTGGACGTGGTATACTAGTAGAGAGGGTGGATGTGGTATACTTGGACAGAGGGGTGGTGGTGGACATGACATACTTGAATAGAGGGATGGCGGTGGATGTGGCATACTTGTAGAGAGGGTGGATGTGGTATACTTGGACAGAGGGGTGGCTGTGGATGTGGTATACTTGGACAGAGGGGTGGCTGTGGATGTGGTATACTTGGACAGAGGGTTGGCTGTGGATGTGGTATACTTGGACAGAGGTGTGGCTGTGGATGTGGTATACTTGGACAGAGGTTGGCTGTGGATGTTGTATACTTGGACAGAGGGGTGGCAGTGGATGTGGTATACTTGGACAGAGGTTGGCTGTGGATGTGGTATACTTGGACAGAGGTTGGCTGTGGATGTTGTATACTTGGACAGAGGTGTGGCTGTGGATGTGGTATACTTGGACAGAGGTTGGCTGTGGATGTTGTATACTTGGACAGAGGGGTGGCAGTGGACATAGTATACTTGGAGAGGGGTAGTGGGGGACGTGGTATATTTGGACAGAAGGGTGGACGTGGTATGCTTGTACAGAGGGGTTGCTGTCGACATGGTATACTTGAACAGATGGATGGATGTGCTATACTTGGAAAGAGAGGTGGCAGCGGACGTGGTATACTTGGACAGAGGGGTGGATGTGGTATACTTGGACAGAGGGGTGAATGTGGTATACTTGGACAGAAGGGTAGCGGTGGACGTGGTATACTTGGACAGAGGGATGGCTTTTGATGTGGTATACTTAGAGGAGTGGCGGTGGATGTGGTATACTTTGGCAGAGGTGTGTCTGTGGATGTGGTATACTTGGACAGAGGTTTGGTTGTGGACGAGGTATTCTTGGACAGAGGGTGGTGGGGGATGTTGTATATTTGGACAGAAGGGTGAATGTGCTATGCTTGAACGTAGGAGTGGCTGTGGACGTGGTATACTTGAACAGAGTGGTGGCTATAGATGTGGTATACTTGGACAGAGGGGTGGCAGTGGATATGGTATACTTGGACAGAGGGGTGGCTGTGGACGTGGTATACTTGAATAGAGGGGTGGTGGTGGTGGACATGGCATACTTGGACAGAAGGGTAGCGGTGGACGTAGTATATTTGGACAGAGGTGTGGATGTGGTACACTTGGAAAGAGGGGTGGCTGTGGACATGGTATACTTGAATAGAGGGGTGGTGGTGGATGTGGCATACTTGTACAGAGGGGTGGTGGTGGACATAGCATACTTGGACAGAAGGTGTAGCGGTGGATGTGGTATACTTGGACAGAGGGGTGGTCTGTGGACGTGGTGTGTACTTGGACAGAGGTTTGGTTGTGGACGTGGTATTCTTGAACAGAGGGGAAACGGGGGATGTTGTATATTTGGGACAGAAGGGTGGACGTGGTATGCTTGAACATAGGAGTGGCTGTGGACGTGGTATACTTGAATAGAGGGGTGGCTATGGATATGGTATACTTGGACAGAGGGGTGGCTGTGGACGTGGCATACTTGGACAGAGGGGTGATGGTGGACATGGTATAGGTGGACAGATGGGTGGTGGTGGATGTGGTATACTTGGACAAAGAGGTGGTGATGGGTGTGGTATACTAGGACAGAGGGGTGGCAGTGGACGTGGGATACTTGGATAAACGGGGTGGCTGTGGATTTGGTATAATTGGACAGAGGGGTGGTGGGGGGACGTGGTATATTTGGACAGAAGGGTGACGGTGGACCTGGTATACTTGGACAGAGGGGTGGCGGTGGATGTGGTATACATGGACTGAGGGGTGGCAGTGGATGTGTTATATTTGGACAGAGAGGTGGCGGTGGATGTGATATACTTGGACAGAGGGGTGGGGCAGTGGATGTGGTATTCTTGGACAGATGTTGGCTGTGGATGTGGTATACTTGGACAGAGGTGTGGCTGTGGATGTGGTATACATGGACAGAGGTTGGCTGTGGATGTTGTATACTTGGACAGAGGGGTGGCTGTGTACGTGGTATACTTGGACAAAGGTTTGGCTGTGGACATAGTATACTTGGAGAGGGGTAGTGGGGGACGTGGTATATTTGGACAGAAGGGTGTGACGTGGTATGCTTGTACAGAGGGGTTGCTGTCGACATGGTATACTTGAACAGATGGATGGATGTGCTATACTTGGACAGAGAGGTGGCAGCGGACGTGGTATACTTGGACAGAGGGGTGGACGTGGTATACTTGGACAGAGGGGTGGCTGGGGACGTGGTATAGTTGGACAGGGGGTGCTGTGAACGTGGTACACTTGTACAGAGGGGTGGACATGGCATACTTGGACAGAGACGTGGTATACTTGAATAGAAGGGTGGCAGTGGACGTGGTATATTTGGACAGAAGGGTGGACTTGTATGCTTGTACAGAGGGGTGGCTGTGGACATGGTATACTTGAATTGAGGGGTGGTGGTGGACATGGCATACTTGGACAGAAGGGTAGCGGTGGAAGTGGTATACTTGGACAGAGGGGTGTCTGTGGACGTGGTGTACTTGGACAGAGGTTTGGTTGTGGACGTGGTATTCTTGAACAGAGGGGAAACGGGGGATGTTGTATATTTGGACAGGAGGGGTGGACGTGGTATGCTTGAACATAGGAGTGGCTGTGGACATGGTATACTTGAATAGAGGGGTGGCTATGGATATGGTATACTTGGACAGAGGGGTGGCTGTGGACGTGGCATACTTGGACAGAGGGGTGATGGTGGACATGGTATAGGTGGACAGATGGGTGGTGGTGGACGTGGTATACTTGGACAAAGAGGTGGTGGTGGGTGTGGTATACTAGGACAGAGGGGTGGCAGTGGACGTGGAATACTTGGATAAACGGGTGGCTGTGGATTTGGTATACTTGGACAGAGGGGTGGTGGAGGACGTGGTATATTTGGACAGAAGGGTGACGGTGGACCTGGTATACTTGGACAGAAGGGTGGCGGTGGATGTTGTATACATGGACTGAGGGGTGGCAGTGGATGTGGTATACATGGACTGAGGGGTGGCAGTGGATGTGGTATACTTGGACAGAGGGGTGGCTGTGGATGTGGTATACTTGGACAGAGGTTGGCTGTGGATATGGTATACTTGGACAGAGGTTGGCTGTGGATGTGGTATACTTGGACAGAGGGGTGGCGGTGGATGTGGTATACTTGGACAGAGGTTGGCTGTGGACGTGGTATACTTGGACAGAGGTTGGCTGTGGACGTGGTATACTTGGACAGAGGTTGGCTGTGGACGTGGTATACTTGGACAGAGGTTGGCTGTGGACGTGGTATACTTGGACAGAGGTTGGCTGTGGACGTGGTATACTTGGACAGAGGTTGGCTGTGGACGTGGTAATACTTGGACAGAGGTTGGCGGTGGACGTGGTATACTTGGACAGAGGGGTGGTGGTGGATGAGGTATACTTGGACAGAGGGGTGGCAGTGGACGTGGTATACTTGGACAGAGGTTGGCGGTGGACGTGGTATACTTGGACAGAGGGGGGTGGTGGATGTGGTATACTTGGACAGAGGTGTCTACTTACCACACTGTGAGGTGTCTGTCTACTTACCACACTGTGAGGTGTCTACTTACCACACTGTGAGGTGTCTGTCTACTTACCGCACTGTGAGGCGTCTACTTACCGCACTGTGAGGCGTCTACTTACCGCACTGTGAGGCGTCTACTTACCGCACTGTGAGGCGTCTACTTACCGCACTGTGAGGACGTGGTCTACATACCGCACTGTGAGGCGTCTACTTACCGCACTGTGAGGCGTCTACTTACCGCACTGTGAGGCGTCTGTCTACTTACCGCACTGTGAGGTGTCTACTTACCGCACTGTGAGGTGTCTACTTACCGCACTGTGAGGCGTCTACTTACCGCACTGTGAGGCGTCTACTTACCGCACTGTGAGGCGTCTACTTACCGCACTGTGAGGCGTCTACTTACCGCACTGTGAGGTGTCTACTTACCGCACTGTGAGGTGTCTACTTACCGCACTGTGAGGTGTCTACTTACCGCACTGTGAGGCGTCTACTTACCACACTATGAGGTGTTTTTTGGCTCCTATCTGGAGCTAATAATTTTTAGGACATCTTACCTATTTTGGCCACCGGAGGGAGTTCCTCGTCCATTACTCACCTAGTCTACAGGGGATTTCTGGATCTGGAAGCTGTCCATTTTACCAAGATTGTCTGCTCCCGGATGGTTACCCACTGTACCCGCTTGATGAGTGATCTCCAGAGGTTATACTACATATGCGCTTTTATATAGCGCGTCCGGTGAGTGAGTGCGCAATTTTATCCTTTGATCCTGGGCTTACTAGCTTCTATGCAAGATCCTCCTGCGTTTACTCGCCTGGACATTATTATTTACATTTTTTGAAAGTACTGGTCATTATTTCTGTTTATGCTATATATTACAGTGCGTTTTAGAATACCTGAGACATAGGGGGCCTACAGATCTCATCACATATTTATTAGCGCCGCACTTCTTAAATTTCTTTGTGCACGTGGCATACTTGGACAAAGGTTTGGCTGTGGACATAGTATACTTGGAGAGGGGGTGGTGGGGGACGTGGTATATTTGGACAGAAGGGTGGACGTGGTATGCTTGTACAGAGGGGTGGCTGTGGACGTGGTATACTTGAACAGATGGATGGATGTGGTATACTTGGACAGAGAGGGTGGCAGTGGACGTGGTATACTTGGACAGAGGGGTGGCGCTGGATGTGGTATACTTGGACAGAGAGGGCAGCTGTGGACGTGGAATACTTGGACAGAGGGGTGGACGTGGTATACTTGGACAGAGGGGGTGGCGGGGGGGACGTGGTATAGTTGGACAGAGGGGTGGCGGTGAATGTGGTATACTTGGACAGAGGGGTAGCGGTGGATGATGTGGTATACTTGGACAGAGGTTGCCTGTGGATGTTGTATACTTGGACAGAGGGGAGGCTGTGGACGTGGTATACTTGGACAAAGGTTTGGCTGTGGACATAGTATACTTTGACAGGGGTAGTGGGGGATGTGGTATACTTGGACAGAGGGGTGGATGTGGTATACTTGGACAGAGGGGTGGCGGTAGACGTGGTATACATGGACAGAGGGGGGGCTGTGGACGTGGTATTCTTGGACAGAGGGGTGGCGGTGGACGTGGTATACTTGGATAGAGGGGTGGCGGGGGACATGGTATAGGTGAACAGAGGGGTGGTGGTGGATGTGATATTCTTTGACAAAGAGGTGGTGGTGGGCATGGTATATTTGGACAGAGGGGTGTCGGTGGACCTGGTATACTTGGACAGAGGGGTGGTGGTGGATGTGTATACTTGGACAGAGGTGTGGCGTTGGATGTGGTATACTTGGACAGAGAGGCGGTGGTGGATGTAGTATACTTGAACAGAGGGGTGGCTGTGGACGTGGTATACTTGGATAGAGGGGTGGCGGGGGACGTGGTATAATTTAACAGGGGGGGCTGTGAACATGGTACAACTTGTACAGAGGGTGGACTTGGCATACTTGGACAGATTTGTGGATGTTGTATACTTGGAAAAAAGGGTGGCTGTGGACAAGGCATAATTGGATAGAGGGGTGGCGGTGGACATGGTATACTTGGACAGAAGGGTAGCGGTGGACGTGGTATACTTGGGCAGAGGGATGGCTCTTGATGTGGTATACTTAGAGGAGTGGCAGTGGATGTGGTATATTTGGACAGAGAGGTGGCAGTGGATGTGGTATATTTGGACAGAGGGGTGTCTGTGGACGTGGTATACTTGGACAGTTTTTTGGCTGTGAACATGGTATATTTGGTTAGAGGGGTGGCGGGGAACGTGGTACACTTGTACAAAGGGTGGATATGGCATACTTGGACAGAGGTGTGGATGTGGTATACTTGGAAAGAGGGGTGGCTGTGGATGTGGTATACTTGAATAGAGGGGTGGTGGTGGACGTGGCATACTTGTAGAGCGGGTGGATGTGGTATACTTGGACAGAGGGGTGGTAGTGGACATGGCATACTTGGATAGAGGGGTCGCGGTGGATTTGGTATACTTGGACAGAAGGGTAGCGGTGGACGTGGTATGCTTGGACAGAGGGATGGCTCTTGATGTGGTATACTTAGAGGAGTGGCGGTGGATGTGGTATACTTGGACAGAGGGGTGTCTGTGAACATGGTATACTCAGGCAGAGGTTTGGTTGTGGACGTGGTATTCTTGGACAGAGGGGTGGCAGGGGATGTTGTATATTTGGACAGAAGGGTGGACGTGGTATGCTTGAACATAGGAATGGCTATGGACGTGGTATACTTGAACAGAGGGGTGGCTATGGATGTGTTATACTTGGACAGAGGGGTGGCAGTGGATATGGTATACTTGGACAGAGGGGTGACGGTGGACATGGTATAGGTGAACAGAGGGGTGGTGGTGGACGTGGTATACTTTGACAAGAGGTGGTGGTGGGCGTGGTATATTTGGACAGAAGGGTGTCGGTGGACCTGGTATACTTGGACAGAGGGGTGGTGGTGGATGTGGTATACTTGAACAGAGGGGTGGCTGTGGACATGGTATACTTGGACAGAGAGGTGGTGGTGGATGTGGTATACTTGAACAGAGGGGGGCTGTGGACATGGTATACTTGGACACAGATTGGCTGTGGATGTTGTATACTTGGACAGAGGGGTGGTGGTGGATGTGGTATACTTGAATAGAGGGGTGGCCGTGGACGTGACATACTTGGACAGAGGGGTAGTGATTGACGTGGCATACTTGGATAGAGGGGTGGCGGTGGACATGGTATACTTGGACAGAGAGGTGGCAGTGGACATGGCATACTTGGATTGAAGGGTAGCGGTGGACGTGGTATACTTGGGCAGAGGGATGGCTCTTAATGTGGTATACTTAGAGGAGTGGCGGTGGATGTGGTATACTTGGACAGAGGGGTGTCTGTGGACGTGGTGTACTTGGACAGAGGTTTGATTGTGGACATGGTATTCTTGGACAGAGGGGTGGTGTGGGACGTTTTATATTTGGACAGAAGTGTGGACGTGGTATGCTTGAACATAGGAGTGGCTGTGGATGTGGTGTACTTGGACAGAGGGGTGATGGTGGATGTGGTATAGGTGGACAGAGGGGTGGCGGTGGACGTTGTATACCTGGACAAAGAGGTGGTGGTGGGGGCGTGGAATACTTGGACAGATGGGTGGCGGTGGTTGTGGTATACTTGGACAGACGGGTGGCTTTGGACGTGGTATACTTGGATAGAGGGGTGGCGGTGGATGTGGTATACTTGGACAGAGGGGTGGTGTGGGACGTGGTATATTTGGACAGAGGGGTGGTGTGGGATGTGGTATATTTGGACAGAGGGGTGGTGTGGGACGTGGTATATTTGGACAGAGGGGTGGTCGGGGACGTGGGATGCTTGGACAGATGGTGTCAGCAGTCATGGCGGCGCACTGGTCTGAGCATGCACAGAATGCCAATGCGCTGTAATCGGCAGGCGTTAGGACCTAGGCAGCTGTGGCGGTGGCGTCTGCGCATGCTCACTCGCGATCACGGACGCTCGCCTGGCACCAATAACAGCGCAGGGCGCACTATATAAACCAGCCTGCACAGACACTAGTTGCCGTATGGTCCTATTATCCTGTTCCTGCTCGTGTGTTCCTGATGATTGATTTGTTGCCGACCCTGCCTGATCCTGACCTTCGCTGACTATCTCCCGCTCTGACCCCTGACTTGTCTGACTTCTGTCCTGGATATCCCTGCTTATCTGACCCCGGCGTGTGACCCGACTACTCTCTGTCTGCTGCTTGTACCGTGCTGTCCCCACTGTTACCGACCCGGCCTGTCTGACTACGCTACACTACCCTGCCATCCATCCATCCATCCTGCACGGATCCGGTCTCTGCTGCTCAGGCATATCCGCCTCTTCACGTCAGACTCTCTACCAATCTCTGCCTCTCCACCGGCACCTTCCCCTTCCCTCTAAAGCACGCACACATCACCCCCATACTCAAAAAAAAACCCTCCCTTGACCCCACTAATCTTAACAACCTCAGACCCATCTCCTTGTTGCCCTTCACCTCCAAGCTCCTTGAGCGCCTGGCCTACAATCGCCTAAGTGCCCACCTCACTGATAACAACCTCCTTGACCCCTACAGTCCAGCTTCCGCCCCCTGCACTCCACCGAAACCGCCTTACACTCCACCGAAACCGCCCTACACTACACCGAAACCGCCCTACACTCCACCGAAACCGCCCTACACTCCACCGAAACCGCCTTATACTTTACCGAAACCGCCCTACACTCCACCGAAACCGCCTTTATACTCCACCGAAACCGCCCTACACTCCACCGAAACTGCCTTATACTCCACCGAACCCGCCCTACACTCCACCGAAACCGCCCTACACTCCACCGAAACCGCCCTACACTCCACCGAAACCGCCCTACACTCCACCCGAAACCGCCTTATATAACTCCACCGAAACCGCCCTACACTCCACCGAAACCGCGCCCTACTCAAATCACCAACCACCTGCTAACCGCCAAAGCCAATGGCCCACTCTTCTGTCCTCCTGCTCCTCGACCTCTCCGCGGCCTTCTACACTGTTGACCACCCCCTCCTCCTTGCCAAACTGCACTCCCTTGGCATCAAGGACGCTGCTCTCTCCTGGTTCGCCTCCTACCTATCACAGCGCTCCTTCAGCGTCACCTACAACACTGCCATCTCCCCCTCCCTCCCCCTCTCTGTTGGGGTCCCCTCAAGGCTCTGTCCTCGGCCCCTCCTCTTCTCCATCTACACCTCCTCCCTTGGCAAACTTATTCACTCCCACGGCTTCAATTACCACCTCTATGCCGACGACACCCAAATTTACCTCTCCACCCCCCCACCTCACCCTCTCAATCTCCACCCTCATCGCCCACCTCCTAAACGACATATCAGACTGGATGTCACTCCATTTCCTCAAACTTAACCTATCCAAAACCGAGCTCCTGGTCTCCCCCCCCCCCCCCGTGCCCCCCCCCCATCCTCTCCATCACTACTAACAATGCCACCATCTCTCCCACCCCACACGCCAAAGTCCTGGGTGTCACCCTGGACTCCCACCTCTCCTTCCTACCCCACATCCAACTGCTATCTAGATCTTGCAGGCTCCACCTCCGCAACATCTCCAAGATACGTACATTCCTCACCCCAGACACCACCAAACAACTCGTACACTTCCTCATCATCTCACGCCTGGACTACTGCAACTCCCTTCTCACCGGCCTCCCTCATCATCTCACGCCTGGACTACAACAACTCCCTCCTCACTGGCCTCCCTCATCATCTCACACCTGGACTACTGCAACTCCCTCCTCACCAGCCTACCCAAACGAACGCTATCCCCACTCCAATCTATCCTGAACTCAGCGGCCAGACTCATCCACCTCACCAACCGCTCCACATCTGCCTCCCCCCCTCTGCCAATCCCTTCACTGGCCTCCACTCAGTGTCCTCCACCCCCCTCTGCCAATCCCTTCACTGGCCTCTACTCAGTGTCCTCCACCCCCCTCTGCCAATCCCTTCACTGGCCTCCACTCAGTGTCCTCCACCCCCCTCTGCCAATCCCTCCACTAGTCTACACTCAGTGTCCTCCACCCCCCTCTGCCAATCCCTTCACTGGCCTCCACTCAGTGTCCTCCACCCCCCTCTGCCAATCCCTTCACTGGCCTCTACTCAGTGTCCTCCACCCCCCTCTGCCAATCCCTTCACTGGCCTCCACTCAGTGTCCTCCACCCCCCTCTGCCAATCCCTCCACTAGTCTCCACTCAGTGTCCTCCACCCCCCTCTGCCAATCCCTTCACTGACCTCCACTCAGTGTCCTCCACCCCCCTCTGCCAATCCCTTCACTGGCCTCCACTCAGTGTCCTCCACCCCCCTCTGCCAATCCCTTCACTGGCCTCCACTCAGTGTCCTCCACCCCCCTCTGCCAATCCCTTCACTGGCCTCCACTCAGTGTCCTTCACCCCCCTCTGCCAATTCCTTCATTGGCTCCCGATTGCCCAACGCATCAAATTCAAACTGCTAACCCTGACCTACAAAGCCATTCACAACGCCGCCCCAAACTACATAACTGACCTGATACCCAAATACTACCCTACCCGTCCCCTCCACTCCTCACAGGACCTCCTACTCTCTGGCTCCCTGGTCTCCTCCTCCCACGCCTGATTGCAGGACTTCCCCTATCCTCTGGAACTCCCTACCCCCAATCCATCAGACTGTCACCTACCCTCCTCACCTTCAGGCACACCCTGAAAACCCATCTCTTTAGAGAAGCCTACCCAACCTCACCTAACACCTGACCTCACCTAACAACTAACCTCCTCCACTCCTCCCACCACTCCATCCCCCACAGCCACTTCCTCCTGTACCACTACCCCCTCCCCCTCCTAGATTGTAA